ATTCATGAAGCTTCAGCACCGCTTCTTCAAATAATAACAATAAAACTTCTTGGTCAAGTATCATCCTCTTCCTGTTGTGAGAGAAATTAGAGCACATACTCATTTATTCAATCAATGAAGATGAATAAAATAACTCCACAACGTGCTGAAGATTTAGTTTATGTACATATAAATCTTTTTTTTCTATTAAGAAAAACCTCACTTTATATGACAGGTGATAACAAGATGTGGGATGTTGCTGGAGATGGGTTCGAGTGCCTTGATGATATGGGATTATTGGAGGTTGCAAATCTTTCTCTAGATGATCTAGAGTTGGAAGCAATGATATTAAATGGTGATAATATTGAAGGTCAAAGACCAACATCTGAATCTATTTCTATCATTCCCTCTATAGAGTAGTTGGACCTTCATGTTGTACTAAATAATTTTTTGCTTATATTTTTGTGGTTGTATTAGACATTTTGTAATAAACATCTTTATGTTATAAGCTAAACATGTTATCATGAAATTGATTTATTATTGCTTGTCATTTTTACTATATTGTCACCTTAATTTTTATATATTATATTAAAAAATTATTATGCCGTGTCCACGCCGCACCCGTGTCCTATATTTTTTAAAAATTGCCGTGTCCCGTGTCTGTGTCGTGTTGTGTTAGTGTCGCCGTGTCCGTGTCGGTGCATCCTAGTATAAAATATGAGAGGCTTCTCTGGAATCGACGTTGCAAGAATAGGCTGGCTCAACAAGTATCTCTTGATATTATCAAAAACTTCTTAGCATTCGTCATCCTACTTGAAATGAACATCATTCTTTATCAAATTTGTGAATAGCTGATATTTACTTGATAAATTTAACATAAATTGCCAGATGAACGCGGTCTGTCATTGCAAGGAATGAAGCTGGTGAAAAAATTTTCGGTAGTGGCATTTTCATATTTATTTTGATTTTATTGGGGTCAATCTAAATTCTTTGATGGTGTTTAATGCACTTAAGAAATTTTTTAGAAGGTACTCCAAAATCACACTTGAGTGGGTTCATTTTGAGATCAAAGTTTTCGATCCTCCCAAATATAATTCTCAAATCATAAAGATCTTTTCGAATCATATTTTTTTATAATGAGATCATTTACGTAGTACTTAACGATCGTTCATCTCTCGAACACATAATAT